CTCTGCTGTGGTTGATGAGGTATAGTGGTGTTTTTTGGTGAGGGAGGTTATTGTTTATTCTTGGGTACCAGTCGTGGTTTGGTGTTTTTAACCCTTGCATACCACCCAGAATCACCTGAGATGGTCAGCCATATAAATCTCATAAATAATAATAATAATGATGATAATCATCATCAACAACAACAACAACAACAACAACCAAAGTACTTTAAGGGGTTGGCAACAAGCCACTGACAGTGTTGGTTGCCTGAAAGGAGTCAGTGATGCATCTAGGCCACAAAGCTGTTGATCTATAATTTTACAAATGAGATGAGATGAACATGACCATAACATTTAAAAAAGGACCGAAGGAGTCAGTTGTGTGTGTGTGTGAGAGAGAAAGGGGGAAATATTTAGTGAACTGAGCAAAAGGTAGTCTAGAAGCAACGAAGGGATCTCTCCCTGTCTCTGATGAGCAAAGCTTTTCGTGTGCCAGAGAAATCTAATAGTCCCCAGGGCTGTGCAGCCAATTGTTCCCTAGGCTGCTGTTAGTGACACAGGCAAGAGCATCTCATCTCATTTCATCTCTCTCCCTGCATCATCGCCTCCTCCCCTCTTGTCCCTGCTGTAAAATGCTGGACCTCGACCTTCTACTGCCTTCTGGCTTCTACGGGGCTCTACCTTCGCACTGTGATTCTGCCAAATCAGGCCCAGAAAAAGCCTTTTAAAAGAAAGGAACCGCCGTTTTTCCTTCCTCTCTACTTCTTCCTCGGCTGAGCCTGCTTTCCTCAGCATCCTTCACACATACCCCGCCGCCGCCCCCGTTCAAAAGCTGGGCAATGGTATCGCCCCAGCTCCATCAGATGGGAGAGACACTCTAGATGTTGCTGGAACATCGGAGCATCCTTGCAGGCTGCGGCAGAGCCAGAAGAGGCACCCGGGCGAGCAAATCGTAGCCCAGCTGGCTGTGAAAAGACGACAAGGCTGAAGCAGCTCGCCTCGATCCCTCCTCTCCGAAGGTGCATTATCTCGAGCGGAGGAGCGTCACTTAACAGGAAGAGATGACGCAGGGGAAGGTAGGTTCAGGCTAGAGCAGGACCTCCTGCGCTGAACTCACGGTGCCGAATGACCTTTGTATTCTATTTAGCAATTTAACATTGCCCTCTTGCCCCAGTGGTTATAAGAGCGAAGCAGCCCTCTGCTTCTTTGGAGGCTCAGTGGGAGATCGCTCTTATAGAGCATAGATGGAAAAGAGGTTTTTATGATTCAGTCGACACAGGGCTGACCACCCTGCCCTCCCACTCTCCCATCAAGGTTGGGCTTCTTACCAGCCCTAGAAAAATTAACCTAACCTGGGATATTCATAAACCACAAATCATCTTTACTTCCCCAGGAGGGGGAGAAGGGGGAATGAGTGAGTTCTGGATCCGTAGGAGATGCAGTTTCCCCCTGCCTGCTTTGGCTCCCCCCAATACGAAGAAATCAGTTGCTGTGGCAACTCAGCAATGGCATCGAATTGAATGTCTGTTGAGTTTTAGCCCTTGATAGGTTTCATGACCCCCGGATGGGAGACTATGATATAAATGACGTATTTTATGATGGTGTAAATCCTGTTGGTTGTAGGTTATGGTCTCTGCTGCTTTATTTGGAGTCTCAACTTTGTCGCTTGTGGGGCCCCTAGGACCAGACCTCAGGACCTAAATCCGAAACCTATAACTCAGGCAGAGCCACACGTGCTCACCCAGAGAGCTGCAAGTCATGGGGGTAGCAGCAAACACCCATTTTCAGACTGATCTAGCTATGCTAGATTCTTTTTTTCTTTTTCTTTTAAAATATTTTTTAGTCCTGGGGCTAGACCTATACAGGGTTGCAGATGTTCATTTTAATATATCATTTTCTTCTTTTAAAAAAGGGAGGCTGCCTGCCCAAAAGGTGTCTTCTGTAAGAACATAAAGTCTAGAACATAAAATTCCTTAGTGTCATAACATGCAGAAGAGGAATTATGCAACTCTGGCTTGGGGAACAGAATGTGGTTGGGGGATGTTGAAATTATGAACACACCTCTGGCTACTCAATGGCATTTAGGACAGGTATGAAATGATGAAGTGAGTTCACAGAAGAACAGCAGGTCATTGTGGTTAGAGAGCTTTGGCAACAATCCCTATCAACTATTCTCCTCAACCCCCACCTTCCAAGTCTCTTTTCAGCCACTTGAGACCCTCCAGGTCTCCTGGAACTACAACCCTCGAAGGCTATGCTGACTGGGGATTCTGGGTATTGTAATCCTGGTGAGCACCGGCACATGTGTGCGTTGGTGTGTTGTGTCCAAGAGCTTGTTCCTTTGAATTAGGTCATCTCTGTCTCAACAGCCCCACACTGATGCAGTTCTAGGATATCCTCTTGTTGCATTTCTGATTCTCTATACATTGGTGGATATCTCACCTTGCTCAGCTGCAGTGTGTTTAATTATTATAATCTGTACAGCATTTGTCATTTCACTGCCGCAAGTGGCTACAAGGAGGCTTTGTTCAAAGTAGCCTTCATTTTATTTATTAATAATATATTGCATCAGACATTCCTGAAGAATTCACAGCAGGTTGTAAGGTTGGGCATTTGCCCCATTCCAAGACAAGACACAGATTCATTGTTGTAAGCCTCCATGAGTTGCAAGATGTGGATGTATCCAAATGTGATCAATCAATCAACTGACCAAAGAGCATGATCATTCTCAATGGGCAGGGAAAACCTGAGAAGGTCAGAGAAGCAGCATGAAAGGCTACTGACCATGTATCCCCCCACATTTATTTCAGGCTGAGAGGTTTGCGGAGAATGCACCTACAGATACCTTAAACCTGGAATTGGATCTACTTTCAATTCTCTTCTCCATCTCTCCCTGTGTAAAATGTACAAGAAGGATGATCATTCTTTTTTTTTTAATCTATTTTTTCTTTCCATTTTGCAGCTCTCTGTGAATAACAAGCCTGCAAATTCTGAAGGGCAGCAGGGAAATGCTGAACGGAAGCACCCCACTGCCCCAGCAGTACCACCAACCTATGAAGAAGCAACTTCGGCAGAAGGGATGAAAGCAGGGGCATTTGCCCCCCCTCTGAATGTTCCTCTCCATCCCACTTGGGCATATGTGGATCCCAGTGAGTTGTCAGATTAAACAAAAAAACAAAAATCACTCGGTTTTGAAATTTAGCAACTTCTTGTCCATGTCAGCCTGTTGGGTTTGTAATAGATTTGAAATTTAGATCAGAAAGCTTTTCTCTGCCTCAGAAATCACATCCCATAACCCCTTGCTTGCAGGAGAATCATATCTTTTCCTCTGCATGAAAACAGAGCCAGTGTGGAACAGAAATGTGAATGTTAGGAGTGTCCAAAGGAGAGGTCAAAAAAGCAATGTGATTGAAGCCCTGGCATTTGGATATGTGTGCAATGTTGATGCCTGTGCTGAAGGGATGTGGCTTCAATTATGAGGTCATGACTGCCATCTTGACGATTCTGAAATACCCTCCCCTCCCCCCCCCGAGAGTCCTGCTTAAGGTACTAGACTGGGAATAAGGGACCTATCTTCAGCCATGAAAGCTCACTGGGGCTGTGGGCCTGGTCACTAGAGCTGCGTACACACTTCAGAAATGATTTGGAAAAAGTGTTTTGGACTCACTTGAGCCCAACCCCTCTCTAATGATGTTCATTAAAATGGCCTGCCTTTTTCCGGGCTTCTGAGTACGATCTCAAAATAGAAACTGACAAACTCAGAAGCTTCCTGCCATCCACCAGTCAGATTTTTAGTAAGAGAGATCTCAAGAAAGCAAAAAAAAAAAGTTGCTAAAAAAAATATGTTTGAACATGAGTGTTGGCAGACAAACGGGAGGCTTGTGGTCCCAGACAGAGGAGGCCCTGAGTTCCACCTTGTCCTACTCCTTGCTTCATGTCTCACAGGGCCTTAATAGAAGCTGCAGTGGAGGAAAGGAAGAAGGAGTGAAGACTGTACCACCACCTTCTCTGCCGCCACTATAAGCTATCACCTGAGCAGCAGCAATAGCAGCACCTCACCTAGCCCTCTCTCCTTCTTCTCCTTAGCTGGATCACCTGGAAACTGGGCAAGGAGGGGCTGGATCATATGGTGGAACCAGAGTGCTCAGAAACCACTCAGAAATCAGAGCAGCTTCCTTGATGCTCACTTCTTCTCTCTCCTCCTTCTGGCTTGAGAAGGAACAAATGGAGAGAGAAAGATATCTAGGTGGTCAACTGGGGGTGGTCTTCTAAGGGAGGGGGCACAAAGGATGGACACATGTGCAGCTGCATTCTGAATAGATGGGGGAGAAGAGGTTCCCCTGAATCACATGGCCAAGCAGAGGGGAGAAGGGATACTTTGTGTGGTGACCAAGGAGGTGAGGGAAGAACCATGAGGGGGAAGAAGTGGCTGCAGGAGTTTCTTCCTCTTTGTCCTCAATTGCTGTAGCTTGGAGGGAGGGCTTGGTGCCCAAGGCCTCTTACCAGCTTCCTCCAAATCGCCACCAAAATGTGAATGTGGACATCCAGACTCACCTGGGGGTTCCTATCCGAGATGGCCTGGATGGAGCAGCAAAACAAACCTTTCGTTCAGATGTAATGCAAAACAAGCCAGAAGAGTTTCATGCAGTTGCCATGGAACACCAGAAACAGTCATGCTGAAGCATTTCTGAATAATCATCTTATTGTCCTGGATGGTTTTAGTTCATTATATATTGAATAATACATAGAGACAGTGCAAGAGCTTTTATAACTTTCCATGGTGATGTATCTTTCTTCCAGTTTTCTTGCTGATTAGGAAAATAATGGATCAGTACATTTATACTGGAAAAACATTGCCCAAATGCTTGTGTTTATTTTATCACTATTTCATAAGGAGAACCACAATGACTTAACTAGACTGCAAAGCAGTAAATACAGATTGTGGATTGATGCAGATACAGTGTTTTCAGTCCCTAACCGTAGTTAAGGAAGAGTGAGCATCTTATATATATTTCTTTTCTTCCACCTTTTTTTCACTTGCATTAGAGTATGCTCAGCTTTGCCATTTTTACAGAACACAACTGTGCAACAGAAACCATGGTTTGCATAACCATCATTGGAAAAATATTGTAATTAAGATTAGTTCCCCCAAAATATGTTAGGATAATAGGTATACAGAGAGACACTCCCCTTCTCCTAACTATGGTTAGATAACTGTGTAGCCTTGATGGCATAGAACACTAACCAATATGGTTGGTTGGTTTTTGACTGAACAAAATATGCAAACTTTATTATGGCCTGGTATTATGCGTGAATCCAGCCATTGTAGTTGCTTAATTAAAAAAAAAAAGACCTTAGCTACGAATGTTGCCATGTGAGTGGCTATTATTGGCTTGTAGGAAGAAGCTATTAATTTTTTTTTTTTTTGAAGATGGAAGGTGGAAAATATTGAGAAGATCAGGGGGTGAATGGGGCAGTGGGAAGATACTAAGAAGATGGGGGTGGGTGGTTAAGAAGACACTGGGAAGAAGCAGTGTGGACTGGAAGTCACCAGAAAGATTGGGGAAGGGTACATCCAAAGCATGTTTTGCCTATTTTAGATAACACCCCTGAGTCCAAAGTGACTGGGCAGAGAAACTGAGCCCCAGGAAATCATAACAACAGTGAATAGGAGACCCCACCAGTCCCTTGAAGATTCCAGTCCTGTGCCATCACAATGCAGTGGCTTGGAGGGCAAAGCAGCTTCACAGAAAGACTGTTCTCCCATTGCTCTTCATTGTTTTTTTACTGCTAGAACCATCCATGGCCATGGAGAAGTTTTTCCTGCGTAAAAACAAGACAAAGCTGGAATCCCTACAGAAATACAGTAAATGCAACTGATCAATCCATTAATTCTTAGCTTAGCTATTACTGTACAAATGGGCATTTGGAAAGTGGATTTAAGGTAATGCCAAAATGGAGCTGTTGCCAAAAGGCCAAAATTGTTGACCATTACCACAATGGCAAGTTGTGGTGCTTGATTGTTTTAGCTCTTTGTGGGAGCAATCTAATTTAATCAATAACTATTTCATAGGATATTGATATTGAAATCTCGCAATAATAGTAGAATTTACTGGCAAACTTGGGGTTATCATTACATTTAGGCAATAACACAGATTAATCAGAATTATTCTCCCCATACCCAGTTGTTTCCATGTCTACTCATTGTTATATAAAATGTGCCATAACAAATAAAGGATGTGAATATTCAATTTGGAGATTTGATTAAAAGGTAATTTGATCAAATCACCAAATTGAATCAGATTTTTGAATAGAATAAATATTCCAAATAAAATTGGATGTCTCAAGCCAGATAACTCAGCTGATTTTTGTGCATGCACAGAAACATTTTTTCTGAATAAATTCAAAAATCTGAATCAGTTCCATTTTATGTCAATTCAGACATCCAAATCAGGTCAGTTTTCTGAGTTGAACTGGAACTCTGAATCATACCGTAAATCTGAATTTAATTGATAATACAGCTTTCTTAATGTATAACTTCTAACAACAAGCATGTCTATGGTGTCACTCAAAGATTCAGGGAAGGTCCTACTTCTTTCATGCTGCCCACCCACCAGCCAATTTAGTAATTAAATTCATATAAAAATTATAGTTCTCATAATGTTGAAAGACCCAATATTTGTGGTATGATACAAGTTCCCTGAAAAGGGTGTGACCTCCACGGTCTTTACTCATAATTTACCCCACCCCACATGATGATGCCACCAAAGAACTGAGAGTTACAATTTGGTTGATGATCTTGATATTCAGATCAGACGTCCTCTGTTCTGTTTCACTGTTTATGTTAGTATATCAGTATACTAATACATTATAGTAGTTTGTGGTTTTTTTTTCCTTTTCCTTTTTAAAATATATCTATACGTAGCTACAACAGAAAAATCCACATTTCATCTATAATGTTCTCTAAGATGTGGAGATTTTATATGCACATGTTTTATCAACATACATAGCTGTTAATGTACTTACTATCCAAGAAACCATTTTAATGCTTTTTTCCAATACTAATTATGCCATTTTCTCTGGCTTAAGCTCCCCTCCCCCTGTTTTTATGCAATTCCTCCTGTTTGCACACAACTTTTCTGAAATTTAGTTCTTTTGGGGACACATTTCTCACCAGCAAATGTCTCTGTGTATGCGTGCATTTATTTATTTATTTATTTCTGACCAGCAAAAGGCAGATGTGCCAGATCAAATGCTGGAACAAAGGCAAAAGTGAACCACCCACTCAAAGCTGCTTCACAAAACAACACGGCCCCCTTCACTTTCAAGGCCGAAGCAAAGTGACTGAGTTCCTTCCCTTCACGCTGCTCTCAGGCTTCTTCCATGGCTTCTACTGGTGCTTGGAATTATGAGATTGGGGGAGGTTCTGTGCACATGCGCATTGCACATATGCTTCTGCTGATAGCTTACTTGAAACCTTGCCGAGAGAGAGAGAGAGAGAGAGAGAGAATGTATTCTTGCAATTGCTGGAGAAGTCAGCGAGGTAATACATAGTTCCTAACTGAGGCAAATTGCAATGTCTTTTTTTAGATTTTTTTTTATCCCGTCTTTATTATTTTTATAAATAACTCAAGGCAGCGAACATACCTATTACTCCTTCCTCCTCCTGTGAGTTGGGCTGAGAGGGAATGACTGGCCCAAAATCACCCAGCTGGCTTTCATGCCTGAAGTGGGACTAGAACTCACTGTCTCCTGGCTTCTAGCCTGGTGCATTTTCATCTTAATGGAGTGTGTTATGTGATTTTCCTAGCTCAAAGTACCTCATTGTGACAAATGATAGCCATCTTGCAAAAATGGCTGCCAATATTGGTCCCATGGAAGAATCTGTTCTGAGAGACCTCTTCAGTCGCAGGAATCCTTGCTGGTTTCTTTTACATCATAAAAAGTAAAGTCACCTCTTGACTCCTGATGATTTATAGGGAAATGGCTATTGAAGGAACATTGTTGTTAGGGAAATGGCTAACTGAAACATTTTGATTAGGACATACAGTGGGACAAATGATTTAAGCAAGTGAATTACTTGATCTTTTCATAACAACTTTCTCATGCTTCACACAGGTGGACCTATGAGTAGATTCTCCTGACCCTT